GAGAAACTGCAGACAGAGCACCTACTCCAGAAGTCACAAACCATTGAATTGTTGAGGACGGTCAGGCGACATGTGGAATGCACCGCACACGCGCCAATTCTACACGGACACAGTGGACACGTGTGGACAGAGGTGGTGTGGAAATGTGAGGCTTTTACAATGTGTACGGTGTTGTCACAGTGAGTAATGCTGAGTGATGATGGTAGAGTAGTGGTGTGGCTACAAAAGCCGCCTGCTGGGAGTGGGGTTCGAACCCACGCGGGGATACACCCCAGGGGATCTTAAGTCCACCGCCTTAACCACTCGGCCATCCCAGCTGATTTTCGCTGGCGCCGACTCACACACTCACCACTTCACTATCAGTCGCTCGCACAAACACTAACTCCAAACAGCACACACACAAAGATCATTAACCCACAATACCACCACATCAACACAACACCAATACTAACACCACTGAATACACGCTGAACTACTCACCTACCACACACACATGATCGCTCACTCCGATCCACACACACACACATGTATGCGGCTGACACGTTCAGTCTCGCCTGTGACTCGGTGTTGTTGTAAGAAACAATATCCTCTCAGCGCGATGTGATCCCGACGGAGGTGTGTGTTTTGACTTGACTCCTCCGTCATTATTCTCAACGTCGTGATTAATGGATATCCAGTGGAATAGAGAGGAGTGCTCAATTAACTGATCAAACATCCCACTGATGTGGACAAACCTATGCGCAAACATGCACAGTGTCAGACGACAACACCTGAGACAGAATCCATCTCAAACACTTCACTCATTCTGTCCAATCCAAATGACTCTGAAATGGTCCTCGTACTCGTCTTCATATCATCACAATTACTTGCATCTCCGATCTCGAGAATCCTGTCTGTGCGTGCCTATTTCCAGTGAACAAACTCTCTGTTCTATTAGTTTCCGTGTGTGTTGCATTCGAGAGAATGAATGCGAAGGAAGGATGGGTAGATGGATGGTCTGTGTGTTTGTGTATGAATATAGATTTGTGCATGTTGTGTGGATGTGTGGTGCATTGACTGATAGATTGAGTGGATAAATGAGTGAGTTTACGTTCGACTGTGTTTGTGTTTCATTGTGACCGTGTAGAATTGGTGAATGAGAGAGTGAGAGGGTGATTGAATGTGAGACTGATGTTACTTACGTGTGACTAGATATGATTGGTTTTTTGGACGAGTTGAAATGATTCGGAGGTCTAGTTCCATGAACATGTATGAGCGTGTATCTATGAGATGAGGGAACGTCTTCGTGAATCAGATAGTCTCACACTGTATGACGACTGTGAGTTCACTGTTCAACTTGAAACAACAATATTGTACATAAAGTGACAATCGAGAATTTCGAGAACATCGATATGTCTATTGGAACTGTGGATTTTCAATCGACTGGACGGTCGGTGATGTGATTGTAATGTCGAGTGCTGGTAAATTGGAGAATCGAGTGACTTGTGTGACATGCACACACGGGACACTTGCAATACAAGTGACCGACCAGGTGACCTACTCATCTCCATCAAGACTGGAGGTGCGAGTGCACAACGAGCAGTCTACTGGTGATTCTGAGAAACTGCAGACAGAGCACCTACTCCAGAAGTCACAAACCATTGAATTGTTGAGGACGGTCAGGCGACATGTGGAATGCACCGCACACGCGCCAATTCTACACGGACACAGTGGACACGTGTGGACAGAGGTGGTGTGGAAATGTGAGGCTTTTACAATGTGTACGGTGTTGTCACAGTGAGTAATGCTGAGTGATGATGGTAGAGTAGTGGTGTGGCTACAAAAGCCGCCTGCTGGGAGTGGGGTTCGAACCCACGCGGGGATACACCCCAGGGGATCTTAAGTCCACCGCCTTAACCACTCGGCCATCCCAGCTGATTTCCGCATGCACCGACTTGCACACTCACCACTTCACTATCAGTCGCTCGCACAAACACTAACTCCAAACAGCACACACACAAAGATCATTAACCCACAATACCACCACATCAACACAACACCAATACTAACACCACTGAATACACGCTGAACTACTCACCTACCACACACACATGATCGCTCACTCCGATCCACACACACACAGTTGTATGCGGCTGACACGTTCAGTCTCGCCTGTGACTCGGTGTTGTTGTAAGAAACAATATCCTCTCAGCGCGATGTGATCCCGACGGAGGTGTGTGTTTTGACTTGACTCCTCCGTCATTATTCTCAACGTCGTGATTAATGGATATCCAGTGGAATAGAGAGGAGTGCTCAATTAACTGATCAAACATCCCACTGATGTGGACAAACCTATGCGCAAACATGCACAGTGTCAGACGACAACACCTGAGACAGAATCCATCTCAAACACTTCACTCATTCTGTCCAATCCAAATGACTCTGAAATGGTCCTCGTACTCGTCTTCATATCATCACAATTACTTGCATCTCCGATCTCGAGAATCCTGTCTGTGCGTGCCTATTTCCAGTGAACAAACTCTCTGTTCTATTAGTTTCCGTGTGTGTTGCATTCGAGAGAATGAATGCGAAGGAAGGATGGGTAGATGGATGGTCTGTGTGTTTGTGTATGAATATAGATTTGTGCATGTTGTGTGGATGTGTGGTGCATTGACTGATAGATTGAGTGGATAAATGAGTGAGTTTACGTTCGACTGTGTTTGTGTTTCATTGTGACCGTGTAGAATTGGTGAATGAGAGAGTGAGAGGGTGATTGAATGTGAGACTGATGTTACTTACGTGTGACTAGATATGATTGGTTTTTTGGACGAGTTGAAATGATTCGGAGGTCTAGTTCCATGAACATGTATGAGCGTGTATCTATGAGATGAGGGAACGTCTTCGTGAATCAGATAGTCTCACACTGTATGACGACTGTGAGTTCACTGTTCAACTTGAAACAACAATATTGTACATAAAGTGACAATCGCGAAGTTCGAGAAGATTGATGTGTCTATTGGAACTGTCGATTTTCAATCGACTGGACGGTCGGTGATGTGATTGTAATGTCGAGTGCTGGTAAATTGGAGAATCGAGTGACTTGTGTGACATGCACACACGGGACACTTGCAATACAAGTGACCGACCAGGTGACCTACTCATCTCCATCAAGACTGGAGGTGCGAGTGCACAACGAGCAGTCTACTGGTGATTCTGAGAAACTGCAGACAGAGCACCTACTCCAGAAGTCACAAACCATTGAATTGTTGAGGACGGTCAGGCGACATGTGGAATGCACCGCACACGCGCCAATTCTACACGGACACAGTGGACACGTGTGGACAGAGGTGGTGTGGAAATGTGAGGCTTTTACAATGTGTACGGTGTTGTCACAGTGAGTAATGCTGAGTGATGATGGTAGAGTAGTGGTGTGGCTACGAAAGCCGCCTGCTGGGAGTGGGGTTCGAACCCACGCGGGGATACACCCCAGGGGATCTTAAGTCCACCGCCTTAACCACTCGGCCATCCCAGCTGATTTCTGTATGCACCGACTTGCACACTCACCACTTCACTATCAGTCGCTCGCACAAACACGAACTCCAAACAGCACACACACAAAGATCATTAACCCACAATACCACCACATCAACACAACACCAATACTAACACCACTGAATACACGCTGAACTACTCACCTACCACACACACATGATCGCTCACTCCGATCCACACACACACGTATGTATGCGGCTGACACGTTCAGTCTCGCCTGTGACTCGGTGTTGTTGTAAGAAACAATATCCTCTCAGCGCGATGTGATCCCGACGGAGGTGTGTGTTTTGACTTGACTCCTCCGTCATTATTCTCAACGTCGTGATTAATGGATATCCAGTGGAATAGAGAGGAGTGCTCAATTAACTGATCAAACATCCCACTGATGTGGACAAACCTATGCGCAAACATGCACAGTGTCAGACGACAACACCTGAGACAGAATCCATCTCAAACACTTCACTCATTCTGTCCAATCCAAATGACTCTGAAATGGTCCTCGTACTCGTCTTCATATCATCACAATTACTTGCATCTCCGATCTCGAGAATCCTGTCTGTGCGTGCCTATTTCCAGTGAACAAACTCTCTGTTCTATTAGTTTCCGTGTGTGTTGCATTCGAGAGAATGAATGCGAAGGAAGGATGGGTAGATGGATGGTCTGTGTGTTTGTGTATGAATATAGATTTGTGCATGTTGTGTGGATGTGTGGTGCATTGACTGATAGATTGAGTGGATAAATGAGTGAGTTTACGTTCGACTGTGTTTGTGTTTCATTGTGACCGTGTAGAATTGGTGAATGAGAGAGTGAGAGGGTGATTGAATGTGAGACTGATGTTACTTACGTGTGACTAGATATGATTGGTTTTTTGGACGAGTTGAAATGATTCGGAGGTCTAGTTCCATGAACATGTACATAAAGTCACAATCGAGAAGATTGATGTGTCTATTGGAACTGTCGATTTTCAATCGACTGGACGGTCGGTGATGTGATTGTAATGTCGAGTGCTGGTAGGCTGGGAATCCGCTTTTTTTATCCGTCTGTTTAGCTTTACTTTTATTCCTTTTTTTTCATTTTTATGGAGTACCGAATTTCTTTCTCCTAATTTTTGTGTTGCTTTTTTTTCTTGTCTTCTTTATGTTACCTAATACGTATTTTATTGTTTTTTGCATTTATTTTGCCATGTGTTTTTTTGACGACGTAAAAATTTCTGAAGAGAGTTTTATTTTCAAATTTGTATACTCTGGCGTATTTCTATGCAGCGGCCTTATTTACTTTAACTGAACTCTGTGAGTAGTCGTAGTCATTTAAATTTTCTGTCAATTAAATTTTGATCGTAGACTCATTTATTTTGTAACTGATTTTTCTAGGTACGTTTATAAGTGTGAAAGCGGGAAACAATCAAAGTTTCAAAAGTAACACTGTAATTGATGAAAGCTCTTTAGTATTATGCATAAAGGATTTAAAGCATGACTACAAAACTAAATACAAGTTGAACAATATTACTATTTATGCTCACCAAAATAAATACTTCATTTCAAATTTACAACTTGACAAGCTGGTGTATAAAAATACTGAAAGAAACAAATCGAATAAAACAGAGTTATTCACCGATTGAGCAAACTAATTAAACGTTTGATTTCCTTATGATCGTAAGACATAAATTGTTTACAAAGTTGATAGAATTTTTCATAAATATATTTAGGCGTCAGTAATCGATTATAATTTTTTAAAGGATCTTGATAATTAGTGAATAAATCATATTGTTCTTTTGGATCAGTGTGATTGGATTGTATGATTTCTGAATAATAATTTATTTCGGCTTGCAGATATTGTTTAAAATCAACATGATGAAGATTATTTTCATGAGATTCAGTGGATAAAATTGATTCAGGGAATTCTGTACTTCGAATATTTTCTAATAACACTGTTGAGTGTAGCATAGTCAACAAATGTGCTGGTTGGAATAGTATAAAGTCAGTTTCAAATTCAGAGAAGTCAAATGATGATGGAGAAGAAGAGGATGACGATTGTATGCAAAATAAACAAATAAAACTTAATAGAATAATCAATGATATTACAGAATAACCAGATTGGAAATATTCTTGTGTTAGCAGGTCAAGTAAATCACAAGCAGTCATTAAATTAGTCATATCTCTTTCTAACAATTCATTAAATCCATTTAAACAATTAGGTTGGCTATGTTTTATTCTTTCAACAACTTCTCGTTGAACAGCACGATAATGTCTAGCTTGCACAGTAAGCTTACTAATTTGGTTGTCTAGTTCTATACCTTTATTGACATGATCATCTAAATATTCATATAATTTACTGAACAATGTTTCAAGTTGAGAAGCATAACTATCAAAATTTAGTGACGATAGTGATTTCGGAGATACAGAACCATCATCCATAAATTTTCTAGCATTCTTCGTATACAAGACAATGTAAAGATTATTTGCATCATTATTCGTTTTATGTTTTCCAATAAGATTATTATGAAAAATGAGCTCTTGTAAAATTGGCCAAAATGTTTCAGGATGATTACTTTGTAGTTTAAATTTGAATTTTTTATTGTATTTAATTGAAATGTATACACATTGTTGATTATCATTATTCATTTGTTTCAAACCACAAAATGATACACATATGGTGAAATTATTTAGACTACTTTCATTAAAACAAGTAGCATCATTTTTAGGTAAAAAATTTGGTAATAAGTCTGATAAATATACATTTTTTAAATGATTATGAAACTTTGTTACCAATTGAAAAACCAAAGAAAATTTTCCAGTGATTTGATTTTTATGTACAAAGGTGCTAGAAGCGAACAAGACTAATGGAAGCTTGATACAATCAGTAACACATTTTGTAATTGAATGAGAATTAAACGACATTGAATTATCAGTAGGACAATTAAGTTTTTCATTATTATTATTATTATTATTATTATTCAAGGAAGTAAAAGTGTAATACAACATTAAAACAACATTCATATCTAATGGAAGTTGATTATTTATTAATGATGATGTCCCATTTTCTCTATTAATAAACTTATTCACATTATAACATGTTAATGTATATGAATACTTATATGAATTATTATGATTGACTAAAACAAAATTATGACTATTTAATTCATTAGAGAAAATTTCTATATAATTAGGTTTTATTATAATTGGTGAACAAGAATGAATTAATAGATAAACAGAATTAAATTGTTTTATGGAATATTTTTTTGGAAATTCAATATCAATATCAATAAAGCATAATTCATCATTTTCATTTATATTCAGTCGATTTGAATTTAAACGTATAGACGTTTTCAATTTTGGGAGAGAATCTTTTTCAAGATGAGTCTTTTTATGATTATTATTAGAGAATAATAAAGATGAATGAACTTTTATTAGCTGATCAATACGTTCATTTACTTGATGTATTTCTTCATCTAAACTTTCATTGTTCAATTGTGATTGATTAGGATCTATTTTATTTGAATAATTGTGATCATTTTGACTTGATTTCATGATATTTGGGACAACTAAATTAGATGGATCAGTGCCAAGATATGATAAAGTAATTCGTCCATTTCTATGAAGTACAACAATTAAACCAGATGAAAAATTTAGTCCAATAAATGGAAGTTTTTTACCGTAACATTTACTTAATTCCATTGTGAATATAGGCATAGATATATGAATTTCACCCGATGATAACAATGCGGACCATAAGAGTTGGGCACCCTAAAAAGCAAAGAAGACTATATCGTTAATGTCTAGTAAATGATACATAGGTTACTAGATAAAGACGGTAAATGGGTTGGTGAGATGGTAAATCTTTATCAACTGAGGTAGTTAGGTCAGCTTTAATGTATCCGTGATGACAACCTACCTCAACGCGCAATCTTTGCTGTAACCGGGTTATAAGAAAATTAAGAGTGATCAAGCTGAGACGTGATATTAGCCCATGAAGTCATTAACTGTTGGTTTCAGTCGTGTTTGTAGACGGGGACTACTTAGTTGGAGTCTAGGAGATTATGGAGACCCACGATTGGAGATGTTGAATAATATGGCCTTAGTTACACCAAACTTATGTTAAGCATTGAAGACACTAATAGCCAAATAAGTGTTTTCCTTTCAATAACTTTACCTTTCATTGTCAAATATTATTTTGATGATAGGATGGAAGAAATGTGTTAAACAGTAGTCTTTTTGTTACTATGTTTATAATAAAAGCCCATGATATATATTGGCAAACCTGAGTATTCCTAAAAAATGACTGATTCGATCTCTTTATGTCAGTTAAATAAAGTTCTATTTATAGAAGAAAAGGGGAAAAACCGAACATAAACCTGCAAAATTCAATCAAAATGCTTATGATTAATGGCTGTATTGAGGCAGCCTGGTCAGGAAACACATATGCAGACAAAAACTGATCATCTGTGGTCCTTACCATCAACAATGAGAAGATTCAAACAACCCCTACAACTAAGGTAAAGTTCATTTCCCTCGCAGAAGTTAGAAGACATCCAGACTCAGTAACCAAGTGGTTAGCGCATTGGGCGTTTCAAGCTAAAAGAATGAGTATGATTCCGCAAGTGAACATCAACACGAGTGCAGTTACATTCACCTGGCAAGTCCCATTTAGGATTAAACGCGCATCCTGAACTTTACTGCTAGCCACTAGCAAAACTTCGCCATCTGTTAGCGTTCGGAAAGAAAAATTTATGGATGAATTAAGAGGCATATATTCACACACTCAATCAACTTTCTCTGATGATACAATATTGGATAATTTGACAAAGTAAATAGTGAAGATTTTATTATTAAATGAAATTGAGGTCAATTAGGTCCAAATTTCTTGCACAGTGAAATGAATAGTAATAATGACTACTGAAAAGTTGATAAGAATATAGTGAAGACTTTATCAAAGAACAACTGAACTACACATGATAAATGATTATGCATGCAATACTGGTAACTACACCCAAAAATCCATTGAACCCATTTGTAATATCAAAGGATTTAAAAGTTACATGAAAGCTAAAAACAAAGATCTAGAAAAGTGCACGAAAACTAGTCAATAAGGAATAAATGATTACTTTCTAAGATTACAAGTTTATTCATTCATTTAGATTCGGACAGGAGAGTAAGTAAATCTTAATTCATCGCTATCCATTCAGTCCAAAAAATGTTTATTTCATAAATATCCAACACCAACTGAAATGTGTGGTTTTAAAGTAACTCGCGTAATTTATGCCGAACGAAAGAGGTGGGATAAAAAATAGTCGTAGAAGTGGAGGGATGGTTATAGTTAGAGCACCATACATTCAATTGGTAGGTCTATTTCATTCAGTCTAAACAAAGATAAAGTTGACAAGTCGCCAATATGTCTGAAACAGATGGATGTAAAAACGCAGGATCTGAAAAACGTAACGTACCATTTTCAATTGTCGTACTATATATGGGGGAGAACACTTGATTTAGTGCACGAGTAAACAGTAAAAATATCAACAGTCTCGAAAACACCATTAAGTAGTCAGAGGATGAAAAGAATTCGCTAGAACTAAGCACATCATTTACAGGAACATGATAAAATCCCTATCTAAAGCCTGTATCTATAACACTGAGGTCAATATTGAGACGTGTCATTTAGTTTAAAACCACATATTGTGATTCCCTTGGAGACACCAACAGAATCGTCTTCAATACGCTACACAGCTCAAGCCAATAAACTCATGAACCGAGCTAGGATCCGATGGCGTATGAGTCTAACTTCAATCAGTCCATGATATTATGCGAACATCCTCATGTGCAGAACCATCGTTATCAAGTAATAGAACTATGCGCTTGTAGTTTAGATTATGCTACTAATAACGTTAAAGATGAACTTTAGTCAAAACTGACTGAATAACTTATTTCATATCATTTCGTTTATCATGGTGATTGTAAGAGGGTTTTACGTACATCTCAATTACTGAATTATATTGAAGTTTAGCCAATGAAAATACTTCATATATATGAAATTTTGATGATTTGACATTACTGCGAAAAAATAATACACTTACTTTGAATACAAGTAGCTGATTTTTCTCTGTTGTTACCAGAAATCTTGGCACCCAAGAAACTTGACTTTGTGCATTAGTTAACAATAAGTTCTCCAGTGAATTAACATTTACTTCTGAATAACCATATACACATAGTTGTTTGGATGGAATCTCAATACGCCGGGTAAACAATAAGGAACCAGTTTCTGAGATAAGGAAAATTCGTTTTCTACCTAATGCAACTACATATGATAAGGGATAGTGTTTACTAGTTGTAAATTCTGAGTCAATTTCATCCATACACAATATAGGTTCTCCTAAGACAATCGACCAGTCTAATGAAACATTTTCATGATTAGTATATAATGTTTGTGAGTGTTTAATATTCGAAGACAGAAAACTAAAACAATATAATTTTATTGAAGCAGCTGTTATTAATGAATGGATGGATTTTACAAATATAAGAGGAGCAGGTATTAAAATATTTGGTAAGGTTATTTGAAATAATTCTCCATTTGCGTTGAAAAAGTAAAGAGATGCGTCGACCGTTTGAACACAAATGACATCTGTTTGAATTTGTTCAAAGAATTTGCCAAGAAGTAATGTGTATGAGTCCTTTTGAACGTTAAGTTTGAATGAAACTGTTAGCTTCCAAGATTCTAGTGAAAAAGTATCACTACAGCCTTGAAACGAATCATCAGACTTCGCAAAATCATAAACAACTATCATTCGTGAATGCAAAACTGCTATCTGTTGATACTGACACATTTCCGTGACAAGATTACCACAACCTATACATAAAATAGGATGCTCGGTATTGTATTCAATACACAAATCATTATGATTATGCAATTGATCGTCTAATTTTTCATTAACTGAAATTTCAGCAGCTCGAGGTAGAAAAATGGACAAAATCCCAGAGGAAGCTCCAAACAAGATGAAATATTGAGATTTATGCAAATTGTGAAGAGGACTTAACTTCAAGCAAAATCCGTCCTCAAAATTTGTTGTGTGCAGCTGTGACGACCAAATTTCACAAGTTTTGAACAATGACATTAGTAATTATCTTGTAAATAGAAGGTGTACAATAAACAATATTCTCTGCATACTTCAGATTTTGATAAATATTTTAATGGGATTGTAATTTAAAATAATTGAGTTATTTTACTACGGTGAATAATTATCATTTAACTGAAAAAGATGAGGTCATTCAGTAAATTTCTAAGTTGATATGAATGAAAAATTGTCCATTCAGTGCAGGCATCTAAAGGAAGGTGTTGTGAAAGTATTATTGTTAATGATACTATCTAAATAAGTAAATAACTACGATAAATGAATATTAAACAATTATTTATAAATTTCATATAATGGCTGAGATCAAAAGAGAAATGACCTCTATATAAAATGTAATTGAATATATATATAACTGATGTGTACAACTCGATAATTAAACGATGTGAAAATGTAGATTCGTAAAACCTGACACCACACACTAAACAAAATATCTGTCAGAACAAGTGAACTGTAAATTTTATGCAGTTGAAATCATGAACATCCCCAGAAAAATGGGATTATAACAAACGGAATAAATGAAACAAGGAAAATTTTGGTACAACATGAGAATAATGAGGAAAAATATAAAACAGTAGGTTAAAAGCAATCACCAAGTAGAAAGGGAGAATCACTATAAGGTACAACCTTGGGTCAATTTGCTGACCAAATGATAAGTGTAAAATGGGTATTACCTTCCAAATAATTTTATTACCGTAGTTATATTGAAACAGTTAAGCAAATAATTCTAAAAATTACATTTGTGGAACCACGACTGGGACATTTGATGAAAAGAATCAAAATACCGATTAAACAGAATCCAAATCAACTCGTGAACACAACGTTGTTTTTCATTATTTGGTCCAATTATTTCATATTTCTAGCGATTAGACAGCAGTATTACTTTATAGGTAAGTTTGTTTCTAACCTTGTTACTAAGGGTAGTCAACAGTTTATTTGTGAGTGAACAATATTACAGTTTATGTAGATAATTTTCAAAAAATCTCAAGTTAGCACAGTGTGTACATTATTTATCATGAAAATGATTAAGGCAATCGAATTTCAATCACTAGGTCACACATTTGAGTCTTGGACCATCCAGTGATGTTTGAAACTTGACAAGCACAGGACACAACAGCTCTCACTGATGCATCGCAAACCTGACATTAACAGTTAGACCAACATCACGAAGGACAAAAGATTACACAGATTAACATGATACTTCTGGCTTTCACCATACATAAATTGATCTCATCACTCACTCTACCACCAACACTTACACAACTACCCAGACACGTGAACTTATCTACTACCTTTAACCGCTCACTACCAACGGTGAGTACAGACACATACTCTTGTCAGTCTTGTAGATGTGTTTTGTACTGAGAAGCTGCCAAGCACATGCCATACCTACGGATACTCATTGCCAACTGATTAAGTGAGGATTGCATGACTTCAGTCACATCGAACAGTAGGACAACATCATCCTCATACTCAACGTCGAAGGTTCCTCCTCCAAGTAACAGATACACACCATCACTCCCATCAGAGCTGTCTCCAGAACGTCATCGACAGTAAAGTGGAAGAGGTACCTTACTAAGTACTTGTCTCCAGATGGAGCACTTGGAATTTACTCTTACTTTCTGTCTACGACCTACTAGGAAATCCTTAATCCATTTTAAAAGAGGTCCGGCAATACCAAGGTTTTCCAACTTCAGTAGAAGTCTATTAGTTGGCACCTTGTTAAAAGCCTTACTGAAGTCTATGTCAGTCAGTCAGTAACAACGTAGAACTTCGTACGTACGAACATCAGTTCGAGTTGTCACACCACATTAGCACAGAGATTCCGTGGTTGATTCAAATCCCGTAGTGGTGAAAATAGTAAGAGTATAAGCAGTAACCGGGAAGATTAGTGTTTGGAGATGTTATTCAAGGAGTATAATTCAGTGAAATAAATTCGGAAAGAGAAAAAAAAACAAAGAGGAATAAGGAGATCAACATTTGGGAGAACACAAAGAGTGTATGCACCTGCGCCATTGCAAACGATTTTGAGCCATGTCATTCAGGGTCTCTAACCATCGGTTGCTACCATCTCTCGGTCCCCAACCAGGTAGTCTACACCTACCGACATGACTCAGACCACTTGTCAGTGACTTCAGGGACTTGTGCCACGTTTTGGTCTGGCCACCCCTAGCTTTCTTCCAACCTGCTACTATACCACTGAACATCGCACGTCGAGGCAGTCGGTCGTTGGGCATACGTAACACGTGTCCCAGCCATCTCAACTGATGAAGTTTCACTACGACATCAATTGATTTGCCATCCTTACCTAGTACCCGTTTCCTAACAACTGCGTTACTTACTCGATGGTCCCAGGATATACGAGCAATATTTCGAAGACACCTATGATCAAATACTAGTAACCTCCGAATATCCTCTACTCTTACAGGCCATGATTCACTGCCATAAAGTGGGACGGAACGAACTGCTGCGCAGTAAACCCGTCCTTTGGTTGACAGACGGATATCTCAACCAAAGAACGATTGCGTCCTCCCAGTCCTTGGTCAAGTGACATATTGAATATCACAGTCAGTGAGACCGCGATATATTGTGCGAATCGTCTTGATCAAAGTCTATGGTGAACAGGTGATTTGTCGACTCTTTATTTTGGTTTGGCTCTTTGCCTAGAAGAGGTTCCTGAGTGAAAACTGCCCGAATCATCTGCTACACATTCTGGACTGCGATATACTACAACTAATTCAATATCTTGCCGTCTACATTTCAGCCTACATCGCGCCAGTTCACATGTCCCTGAAACTGGCGCCACTGTCTTAGCTACTCTTATGGCTATGGTAGTTTTCGGGTACGAGATAACACCACTTCCCATACCGTCTAATCTATCAGCTTTACTGGTTAAAAAAATCAGTCAACTGAATTTCATTATCTAATACTTCTGACGTTAACCAGGTTTCCGAGACAGCAATAACATCCGATTTTTCTTTATCCACCATTAAATTGAGCTCCGCCATTTTATTTAGTAGGCTGCGAATATTCGTGTAGCATACCTTTAAGTCTGTGGAGAACTTTCCGTTACCACCCAGAGTGGTTCGGGGATCGTTTTGCTCCGAACTTTTACAATTAAAAAACCCTTAGGAACGAGGTTTCTTTCACCGTTTCGGGAAAGCTCATTTATTACGACTTCTGCAGTTCGTCTTTTAATACGATCAGCTAGGCTGAGATCCTCACGGACGTATATTCCGGATCCAATCAGTTTACGTGAGTTACTTAGAACCAGGTTCCTTTCTTCGACTGTAGCAAATGTAATCTTTAAGAGGTGGTTTTTCTGAGGACTTTCAGATTCCACCTTTTGTCCTATTCTATAAAGCTTACAAATACTAACTCCTGAAACTGTATCTGGGAGTAGTTTGTTTATTAAGGACTTAATATGACAGATCGTGTTCAAATCTTGCCTTTGGTTCCTTATCGGAAGATTCTTTTAACTTATGTAAAATGACTGACCTCTCAGAGAGATCTGTCTTGACACGCAGGGTAGTTTTTGTTTCTGATACCGTCTCCTCCAATGACTTGCTAACCAACTGTGTTTCGCCTACAACTTTTCTCTTTTCATTTCTTTTTTTCCGTACTGAAGTCCATTTATCATCACTCAGGACAACCACACCAGGACTATTTGGAACGGTGACAGTTTTATCCGAGTCTTCAATTTCCATTAGAGGTGTGTGATTACCTATGTCAATATCAAGCGGCACTTCACTCCTCGTTAATGTTAACAGAGATTTCACTTTCCCGTCAATCACGGTCGAGTGTTTATCGGGTCCGGTAGTAGCACGTACTACATTAACAAATTCTTCATGGTCAGTGCTCGTGTTATTAACGCAACCACCATCGTTTTCCTTAAAGGCCAAAGCCAATAGGCTTTTAGCCTCCTGAATTAGTAACTTCTTATTTGTACAGCAAAACATACAAAGTCAATAAGAGTTAGGCTTCGAGCATCTTTTGTATGCCGAAGGACTTAGACGTGTGCACATCTTATGGTACCACTATTTTACATTCATTGCACTGCATTTCTTCCCCAACGGGGAACAAGCAGTTTAGTTGTCCACATTTATAAGTTTTACTAACCATTGTAATTTGATTAAAAAGGTTTAAAACACAATATGATCACAATGTGAACACTAGTGTCAGTTAATGAGTAAAAATAAGGCACCACAGGACATTGTTTAGCAAAAATTTCAAACATTAACAAAGTACTTTTAGTTAAAGTAGACCAAGAATGCTTTTTGATGCGACAAGTACACAAAGTAAGGATAATCACGACAAGTACAAAAATCACTGGTCCTTTTGAAACGAGTGCGGTATTACTATCTGCCTTAAACTAGACTGCTCTGATATCAACTCGACTAGTTCAAATTATCACACTTAAGTTGTGTCTTCCAGAGTTTTAAAAAAGTTTCCTTCAAAATAGTGAGAGCTTTCCCACAAAAAAATTAAAAATATGTCACCAAAAAGCTCACGTGCAACTCAGGTCAGTTCAACAAATTTATGAGTGTAACAATAAAGAAAGAAGAATCATCGAGTCTGTCGTTGGAAGTTAGTGACGAAATTGCTACTGATACGATGCGATCTAAAGTTATCACAAAGAGGAAATGCTGAATTTCCGAGGAATTAACCGTAATGCCGATCAAACGGATGAGGATACGTGTGCATCAGGAACATGCGGCTTTAGTTTTTATCCAAAGCGTGCAAGCACAAATGTGAATTCAAACACCAAAAAGAGTAAGTACAAACGCGTAAACCAAAAACATACCGAACACTTTTGAAAAAGTACCGTACTCCAAATGTTAAAAGTGAGTTAGAAATTTCTTATCTCTTTTCTTAGTATTATGATACTAATATAAATTATTTTCAACTTTTGATTGCAATCGTGTGATTTAATTGTGACACAGAATATTTGTTTGTTCGCTCAAAATATCATCATTTGTTGACTAAATCTTAGCAACGCTATGCAGAGGGTTATTAAATGTTCATAAACAGTTGATTTCATTTTTCACTAACGTGCGTTGATATCGAACTTCTAAGGGATTGGTAAATATTTTTAAATTGGTATTCAGTTTTTTTTTGTCAAAGTCAGTCTTCAGAAATGAGGATAGGAGGTCTATCAACCTACATTAATCCTTGCAGTTTGTAATACTGTGGAGGTCCAGTCTCGTTTTGAATATATTAACAACAGGTGCTGATATTACGTGTTCCGTTAGAGAATTCTTGTGATCC